AGTCCGGTGTAGTCGTCATCCTCAACACCATGGCGCAGCCGGCCTGAGGGCAAGAAAACTGTTTTGTTTTCAAAACTCATTTGTTGCTACCCTTGGGTCGTTAATAACATTCCTATCGATGATGGTATTCTGGGGTGTTCTGGCTTCTGACTCCAAGCTTCTCTATAACTTTTGCAATCAGTCATCGTTTCATTTTGACATGGCAAGAATAATATTTGTGGCTGCCAACTCACTAATAAATCTAATAATCTACGCTATACGGATGCCTGAACTAAGAGCAGGCATATTGCAAATAATTTTCCTTAGGACTTTAAACCCTGTTTACCCAATCGATATCCCACTTCAAAATATTAAAACATCTATTTAAAGAATGTTTAAAATGTTCACAAAGAACAAAAAGTTGAGAGAATTTTTAATCAAATTGATTTTGCCGTCAATGCCGTCCGACTTGTTTTAATTATATAGTGGAAAAAAAGTGGTTAAAAAAGAAAAAAGAAAATTCCATGAAAAGATTAGCAATTGTTGGATTATTATTGAGGCAGATAACACAGACAAGAAAAGAGAAAATCACGATCAACGTAGCTTTGAAGTAGCAGCAATTAAAGCGTAGTAGAAGTCTACACAACTGATCATCCACCAGACCGTAGTCAATCTCTTGGTTAGGTTGGCGTACGGGCTTCTGATGACTAGAATGTATTATGAATTAATCGTTTTTGCATTTTATTTTATCCTTATTTGTTGTACCTCTATCTGTCTTAGAGTCCGTTGCAATCGTCATCCTCGAAACTATGGTGAAGCCGATGTGAAAGAAAGAAAACTGACGGGTACTTTATTTCCTGTCATTTCCGGATCTTTGATTATGTTCCTTCCAGAGATCATTTTATGGGGTTCTTGGGCTTCCAGTCTCTCTAGCTTTCGGAAAGAATTATCAAATGAGCGATTTCGGAACCGTAAAAAAAAATGTGCAGTGTGCTTTGAAAATCAACAGTGGTTTGAAATCGTTAATTCGGGGACGAGAAGAAGTTGACATGAAGTATCATCACCTCGCGCCTTCCTTTCTAAACTCAAATTACTTTTTGCTTTATATCTCTTGAAATAAAAAACGATACCAAAATAAAATTTCAGAAGTTGATAGACCTTTATTTCTTTTATAGGATATTATTAATATACCTTATGAAAAACACTACATCACCTCTCGCACCTCTATCGCGCTCTTCTCACTTATACCTTCGCCATTAAAACGGTGAAATTAAGCCACCTGTTAAGCAAACCGATCTATGAACTCACTGTTGGAGGTAAAATGTTATTGAAAGAGGCACGGATCTTCATCTTAAGATCTTCCTGTCCGCGGATGTTCGAGCAGCTGCACAATGAAAGAAAAAAAAAGATTTGTCTTTTGAACAAAAATTGATTCAACGGTGAAAGGTTTTAAACCATGTCAGGACATGGTACATGATTGAAAAGATTATGGGTATTTACTTTCTGCATGAAATTTTCTCTTTTCGGCGAATTTTAAAACTTACTTGTAGTGCACTTTGCTTCTTATATCATCATGTAATATTTTCGTATTTCAGTAAATAGTGTTTGAGTAGATTAACCTTGAAATTTACTTAAAAAGGTATTTTTTCTCAAAGTGCTTTACGACAGATTGTTAACTATTTAGATTGGTCGCCCCCTGTTTCCTTCGCTTCCTTAAATTTTGTCACAAATTAAAGGGAAAAAAAGGGAGAACACACTTACGGCAACAGCAGTCGTTTTTCTTTTTTTTGTATTTTTGTCGTCACGGGATCTTGCTGTTGGTATGTAACTAACTTTGGACTGGAAATTCATTATCAGATGTCAAATCAGGTGACTTATTAAAAGCTAAAAACCTCATCATTTGGAAGTCTTTTATTGGTCAAAGAGACCAATTATTTATTGCACCATACTCTGTTAAATTTTGAAATACAAACAAAACTGTGCATTTCGGTTACCACTCGAAATGATCCCAAATCTATCAGAGGAGACAGATATGTGTCAATTTTGAAATTTCTATTTAACTGCACAACTTCATGACTTTCTTAATTTACTTTATCGTTTAAACGTAAGTAGTACAAGCATTCTATCTTTTCTTGAGATGATGTCGTCACTTGACGTGAATTTGCGTCTTTTGGACTGAGGATTGTTCCTCGTCTTGTACCTCGCCAGGTTTTTAGTGGCAGGTGCATATATTTCGATCTTTTTTACAAAACAAAGAACTTTCTTTCCACTACAGACAGTTGTAGTTGGCATCAGTCGTTTTTCTCAATCGAGGATATCTGCAATTCGATGTTGTGATGTCTTTTAAGTTCTCGTATCTTTGTTATTCTGAAAAATCAATTTCATTTTTCAAATACTTTTAATTAATCTCCTTTTCGAAGAAAAGCTTCCTCATCATTTTGTTTGTTAAGTAGACTTTTATTTTCAAAATTATCCGGAATAATAGTCCTTTAGATGAAAAAATAAGCGCTAAACCATTTGCTCGCGCAGCTGCATATTTTGTTGCGCTTAAAAGCGTTGAGAGTCAGAAAACAAGCGCACTCTCTTTTTATCGAGCACCCAAAAAACGCTGCAGTTAACTTAGCATAGTACGAAAGTTTATTACTCGCGAACCGACACATAAAACGTAACTAGCATGGTGCAAAGAACTTTGGTGGATACTTTTATATCATAGACGTTTTCCTTTCCTGTTCAGGTGGCTCGGTTGGTTGTCGCTGGTTGCAGTGTTACTCGATGTCTTTCAGTCCCAACAATAGTACCTATTATGACACAATCCGCAGTTATTGGAGGCCGTTTTCTCCATTACAATGTATTCCATGGTTAGCTGTGTTGGGTACTGAATGTCTGACCATTGTCATCCTCAATGTCATCATCATCATTGTATTTGTGAAGCAGCGCCAGCTTCAGCGCCATAGTAAATACTTGATCATCCACCAGGCCATAGTAGATCTCTTGGTCGGTTTGGTGTACGGGCCTCTGATGATTGAATGGTGCGGAAACATCTGTGATATGTGGGAACACCATAGAACTTTTATCACTTGGTCATTTATTCTGGAAAATGTTTTAGGTTTACAAGTTTATCAAGTTTCCCTTCTTAACCTCGCTTTCATATCATTAGAACGTGTACACGCTACATTTCGTCCTTTCAAGCATCGTTTCATCAAGAAATGGGTTTATGGAGTGATTGTAACAGTCACTTGGTTGGTGCCTGCCGTCATGAACTCAATGTCAACAGGAATAGTGCCCTCTATTTTTTTCTTCACCTACTATGCAATAATCGTTTTTGCATTTTATTTTACCCTACTTTTGGTCGTCGTTGTATGTTATACTTCTATCTGTCTCAAAGTCCGTAAGAATCGTCTTCCTCGACACCATGGTACTGCCATTGTGAGAGAGAGGAAACTGACGGGTACTTTATTTCTTGTCACTTGTGGATCGTTAATTACGTTCCTGCCAGAAATTGTTTACTGGGGTTCTTGCGCTTCCAGTCCCGAGCTTGTTTTCAGCTTACTTAATCAGCCATTATTTAATTATTTTATGGTAACGAAAACATTTGTAGCGGCCAACTCGTTGATAAATCCTATAATCTATGCTATACGAATGCCTGAGGTAAGAACAAGCATGTTAGTAATCATTTTCCGTAGGGCTCGGAATCCTATAAATCCAATCGATTTCCCACTTCAAAATCTTTAAACATCTATTTAAGGGTGCAAAAAAATTTGAGAAAGAATGGAAAGTCGGGAGGATTTTTACCGATTTGATTTTGCTGAGAGTACTGTCCGACTTTCAATCATTTCACCGAATTATTTATACAGGTACACATATATTTATAAACTCGTTTCAGCAGTAAAAGGTATTTTAATGGTATCAATGTACTTTTAAGGAGATTGAAAGCGACTGTCATTTGTTAGTGTTAGCATTGTGTGAAAATGAGAAACGTATAACTCTATTGAGCTTGAGGCAACAGTTGGTGCTAAATCACAAAATATTCCCTGTAATTATATTTAAAAGGAGCATTCGAAAAATTTCAGACAAGATGAAACATTTTGAAATGGTTATATTTATATCATTTATTAGATGACGATTGATAGTTTCATGATACCAACATAAAGTGGTTTAACGTAGACACATGAAGGAGATCTTTGCCAGATTAAAATAATATCGACCCGCTCGATACGATCTTTTAGACTGCGTTTAAACCACAAGCAATTTTTGGAATGCGAAAAACATCATTCTAATTTTACTTTATTCTAGAAGGAAGTATTCATTTGACATGCATGTAATGCAAAATCAATTACTTATTAAAACCTCAATCTGTTGAGTTGCTGTTTGATTCAGTTTTCTTTCTTTTTCACTGCAAAAACGGGCGGCAGGCGCTTTTTAGGCAGGTGTAGAGAAGCGCGAGGCGTGCCGGAGACGTGAAAAACGAAGAGCTCATTCTCTTGTCCATGTCTCGACTGGAGTGATGGCCGATTAAACGACGGATAACCCCTTTGATCCTGATCAAGCACGCCATGTTACAAGACCAACTAACCATCATCCTCAGCGAATCTTAATTACTCTGGAGTCTCACCGAGTGCCTCTTTAAGAGAATCACTACATCATCCCTTGAAATATCTTTGCATTCGTCTCGCGTGTGCGTCCGCCTTACAAATGCAGAAATAAAGAAACCGCTATGGAAACCGATGTATGAACTCAGGTTGGAAGTAAACTGATATCGAAAAGACGTGGATCTTTATATTCTAGACCAACCTACCCACGGTGCTCGAGCAGCTGCATAATAAAGGAAAAAAAGATTCGTCTTTTGCACAAAAATTGTTTCAACAGTGGAAGATTCTAGACCATGTCGAGACATGGCATATAATTTTAAAAAAGTCTATGTATTTGCTTTTCTCTAACTATTGCACGATGCTTTTTCTCTTCGGCAAGTTCCTCGAGTGCACTTTGCTTCTTGTATCATTATTATTATGTATGTCAGTAAAAAGTCTTTGATAAATTAACCTTGAAATTTACTGAAACTTATTTCTTTCTTTTAGTGGTTTGCGACGGGCTGTTTCAGTTATTTTGGTCAGTTGTCTTTGTTTCTTTTGCCTCCGTAAAAATGCTGCATTAGGAACAGAAGGTTTGGTCACCTTGTTCTACCACTAAGAATGAGCTTGAAGTAGCCGTAGTCCATCACTATTTTTATGTTATATTTTTACGACTGTACTATCGTTTAAAATAAGGGAAAGCAGCTGTAAACTGAAGGGTATTACTCAGTTCAGGTTATTTGAAAAATTAATATGGTGAAAACGTAAAACTCTTATGGGGTCACCATTATGATTCCACAATTATTTTTTTAGCTAATACGAATGAATAGTGAAGTAATCTATGGCAACAGCGCTCGTTCGTTTCTTTTGTTGTATTTTTGCTGACAAGGTATTTTGGCTGGTGTTGATATATGTTATTTACGATTTTGACTGCAAATTTATGCTTCAACATGAAGAATAAGGAAGAACAAGAAAAAATCATCAGATGACAAGTCGTTTGGGTTATAAAAGCGAAAAACCTCATCGGCCAGTAGATTCTTATTTGTCAAAGAGAGTTATAATTTTGTGCATTATACTCAGTTAAGTTTTGACGATCAAACTAAGATGTTCATTTCGGTTACCCCTCTAATAATACCTTTGCAAAACTTTCAGCATGCTCATTGGTTGAGAACACGTCAATGTTTCTCAAACAATGCAAAAAGTTGAAAAAGTTCCAAGACAAAAATACCCAACAAAGTCGGGTGAGTGTTAGGCTTCCCATAAAATCTATGAAGAAGTATTGAAACGTAGGTGTTCGCTTATATCGCAGACATAAGTTAGATAATTATCATAAAGGGTTCTGCATCAATTCGGAGACACTTATTTTCACAAAGCCTCTCGTTGTTTGTGTCTTTGTTCTAAAGAGTATTGTAACGTAGGTTTTATCATTACAAGTCAGACTCAACACAAAACATGTGAAATGAAAAGAATATTTTAATAGTAATGATCAAAATAAAAACAGCCGTTCACACTCTGTGATTCACACTTTGAATACTATATTCACATTCTCGGATTAGAATAATTGCGAAAAATGAAGCTTCGGCCTTAACAAAAGATTGCGAGATGGTTAATGTTGTTGCTTGGTACAAGAAATTTGAAGATGTAAGGAAATTTTGGTACGGCAAAGATATGAGTGTAAACCATACCTTTGTAAATAGCTAGCGGCAGAAAGGTTAATAATGATGCACTGGTAACAAGACACAATGTCATCGTCAGTTTTCTCTCCCTTGACCAGCTGCATCATGATGTCGAAAAAGACGATCACGATGAACTTTGATGTAAATGGAAATATAATATACACAAATGAAAACACTAAGAAAGAGACAAGAGGAATAAACCCAAATAAGATTTAATGGCCAATAGGTTATTTCTTGTATTGTACCCCTACATATTATTTTTCATAGATGAATAAAATCTATAACTAGTCTATAAACCCATTTCTTGATTAAACGATGCTTAAAAGGACGATATATTGCGTGTGCGTGTTCCAACGAAAATGAACGCGATCTTAACAAGAGATGCAAAGGGGAAAAAAGGACGTATTGCTAAACTTATTCTGGTGTATCCCAACTCTTCCCGAAACACCATGCAATGAAGAAAAGAATCTGCATCGGCCCTGATACAGCCCCGACTAACATATCAACTGAGGCCAGATGAATGATCAAGTATGTACTTCGGCGCTGGAGCTGGCGCTTTTTCACAAATGCAATAATGAAAATACAATAAAAATACAACGATATTAAATACAAACGATATTAGATACAAATACAGTGATATTAAAAATAACTATGGCCAGAGATTCAGTGCTTAGCGGAAAAAGTTACGGAATATAGAGGAGGTTGGAGGTTGGAAGCGACCACTGGTGCTGGAAGGACGCGATATCATAAGAAGCACTGCTGGAATATTGGTATTCCTGGTTGAGTTCCATTGGAATTGGTTTATTTCAATCCTATTGATCTAAATACGAATGATACAAATGAAGTAAGACAATTCTCGGGTTGCTTAACCAGACAGTTTTACGCTCAGGAGTGAGGACTAAGATGCATAAACTAATAGCAAGCGGCGAACATTTGCTTGTCCTTAACTGACAAGTAATGCTGAACAATTGCCTCAACTAAAGGGCTGCTAACGGAGTAGACGCCAAATGAAGCTATCTATGTTTTCTACTGGGAAATCAGATTTCTTTTAATGTTCTTGCATTTGTATTACGGTGCACGTAATTGATTCACTTTTGCCTACTGGTAACTTTGGAATTTTTTTCAAGATCTTAACAAAAGAAAAAAAAAAACAACAAGTAAAAGAAACAGAAGGCACAATTTGAAGATAGGGCGAATGCACCAATGGGAAACCATTCGTGAGATGTTATCCAGCATTATTGAATGATGAAACAGAAATGCATTTTATGATAAGTTTTCAGTCTTTTTCAAAACAGTTGAACATTATCTTATTAGCTATTAATAGATTTTAAAATAAATTCAGCCTGACCAATTTCTTTGAGACACAACACCTCGCAATTTAAGTTATCTTATTCTTCATCAACAAAACTTTTCAACATTAATTTTTATCGGTT